ATTTTTCCCCCCAAAGCCCCAGTAGATAGTTGTATGTCATAGCTGCACATCCTTCCGGCTGCTGTATGTGGGACGCAGCCTCAGCATGGCCGGAGAAGCAGCACATCGGCATGCGCCCAGGATCCGAACCCAGGCCGCCAGCAGCGGAGCGCGAGCACTTAACCGCTAAGCCACGGGGCCGGCCCAATACTCACTTTATCTTCTTAATTCTTTCATTTTCTTCATTCCCCTCAACACCTCCCTCTCTAAGTGAAGTGATCTTAACGTTTCAAGGAATTAAAATAGTAATTTCTACATATAAAACAATTGATAAGTCTCTGAAAAAGAAATAAAAGTTTTTATGCTAAGGTTTTGCTGTGGTATCTATTTCTAGAAACAAAGCAACCGTACTGCTTCATGCTTCATGCCCAGTCATAAAGCAACAATACCTTGCATATAATAGGCACTCAGATTGTAGGGAATGAATGGATGAATGGATGAATTAATGAATGAAAGCAATTCCTCAATACACTTGCTATTGGAGCACCACCAGCTACATTGGGAGAAACAAATCTGAAGATTCTGTGGTGGTAGTGACCACTGAGGTCACTGGGAGGACTTCACTAGCACTGCTGAGCCTGTTAGAGCAGCATAATACCTCATCTCAGCCCTAATGCTGAGAATCACAAGGTGAGACAGGAGAGATTTAGAATATTTAGAATGCGCCATAAGATAAAATACAATTATGTGCTAAATTTGGGGGTTGAACTGTGCTGCAGAGGTTAGGGTACAGGTCATTACTGCTATTATCACACAGCCTAGAACTGTCCCACAGCCCAGAATTTCAAGAGGAGATCAACAGTGCCCCCTTAATAACAATCTTCACAAAGACATAGAAATGTTTTGTATTCACTTCTACATGAATATCCTACAGATTTCTCTAATACAAAGGTTCAAAACTGAATTGAACGTTCTCCCACTCGCCAAGCCTTTCCTTTCTCCTATATCCCATCTTAATAGTGTCATGACTCACCCAGTACTGAAGTTTAAAGTCTTTACATTATCTTAAATGCTCCGTGTGCCCTCAATCCACACATCCAGCCACCTATCAATCCTAATATAAAAATGTCTTTCATTTGGGAACCCCCTCCACCCACTATGGCTGCTGTGGTTCAAACTCCA